AGGTGACCGGGTGGCCATAGAGCCGGGTGTCCCGTGTCGCACGTGTAGGCAGTGTAAGACTGGCCGCTACAACCTGTGTGGGAAGATAAAGTACTGTGCCACGCCTCCTGACCATGGTACCCTCACCAGGTACTTCGTCCATGCAGCAGATTTCTGCTTCAAGTAAGTTACTCAAACTGTCTTCTTGCATTCTTCACAATGCTATGGGGGAACATGCTGAAACTGTAAGTGATAGGCAGATACTGTAATGGTAATGCTATAATGTCATGCTGTTCAATCCTGTGCTGTGCTGTGCTGTGCTACAATATGTTACGTTTTACAACCTCAGACTTCCCGACAACGTGAGTATGGAGGAGGGAGCCATGTTGCAGCCTCTGGCTGTTGCTGTCCACGCTTGTAACCGTGTCAACGTCCACCTGGGAGCTACAGTTCTCGTGTGTGGAGCAGGTAGGCGATGTTGTTACCAACGTCAAGCCACACACGTGGTGCAGATATCCAAAGTTGTTACCAACGTCAAGCCACACACGTGATGCAGATATTCAATGTTGTTACCAACGTCAAGCCACACACGTGATGCAGATATTTAATGTTGTTACCAACGTCAAGCCACACACGTGATGCAGATATTCAATGTTGTGACCAACGTCAAGCTACACACGTGATGCAGATATTCAATGTTGTTACCAACGTCAAGCCACACACGTGATGCAGATATTCAATGTTGTTACCAACGTTAAGCCAACACGTGATGCAGATATTTAATGTTGTTACCAACGTTAAACCAACACGTGATGCAGATATTCAATGTTGTTACCAACGTTAAGCCAACACGTGATGCAGATATTTAATGTTGTTACCAACGTTAAACCAACACGTGATGAAGATATTCAATGTTGTGACCAACGTTAAACCAACGCGTGATGCAGATATTAAATGTTTTTAGCAACGTTAAAACACACAGTAGGGACAGGTGGACGATGTTGCTACCAAAGTCAAGCCATACACAGAGTACACGTAGGCAATATTGTTACTTATGTCAAGCCACACATTAGGTACAGGTAGCGATGTTGCCACCAACGTCAAGCCACACACAAGGTACAGGTGGGCGATGTTGCTACCAACGTCAAGCTACACAAGGTACAGGTGGGCGACGTTGCTACCAACGTCAAGCTACACACAAGATACAGGTGGGCGATGTTGCCACCAACGTCAAGCCACACACAAGATACAGGTGGGCGATGTTGCTACCAACGTCAAGCTACACACGGTACAGGTGGGCAACGTTGCTACCAACGTCAAGCCACACACAAGATACAGGTGGGCGATGTTGCCACCAACGTCAAACCACATACAAGGTACAGGTGGGCGATGTTGCTACCAACGTCAAGCTATACACAAGGTACAGGTGGGCGATGTTGCTACCAACGTCAAGCAACACACAGAGAACACGTAGGCAATATTGTTACTTATGTCAAGCCACAAACAAGGTACAGGTGGGCGATGTTGCCACCAACGTCAAGCTACACACAAGATACAGGTGGGCGATGTTACTACCATCGTCAAGCTACACACAAGATACAGGTGGGCGATGTTGCTACCATCGTCAAACCACACACAAGGTACAGGTGGGCGATGTTGCTACCAACGTCAAGCCACACACAAGGTACAGGTGGGCGATGTTGCCACCAACGTCAAGCCACACACAAGGTACAGGTGGGCGATGTTGCCACCAACGTCAAGCCACACACAAGGTACAGGTGGGCGATGTTGCCACCAACGTCAAGCTGCACACAAGGTACAGGTGGGCGATGTTACTACCATCGTCAAACCACACACAAGGTACAGGTGGGCGATGTTGCTACCAACGTCAAGCTATACACAAGTTACAGGTGGGCGATGTTGCTACCAACGTCAAGCTACACACAAGATACAGGTGGGCGATGTTACTACCATCGTCAAACCACACACAAGGTACAGGTGGGCGATGTTGCTACCAACGTCAAGCTACACACAAGGTACAGGTGGGCGATGTTGCTACCAACGTCAAGCCACACACAAGATACAGGTGGGCGATGTTGCTACCAACGTCAAGCTACACAAGGTACAGGTGGGCGACGTTGCTACCAACGTCAAGCTACACACAAGATACAGGTGGGCGATGTTGCCACCAACGTCAAGCCACACACAAGATACAGGTGGGCGATGTTGCTACCAACGTCAAGCTACACATGGTACAGGTTGGCAACGTTGCTACCAACGTCAAGCCACACACAAGATACAGGTGGGCGATGTTGCTACCAACGTCAAGCTACACACAAGGTACAGGTGGGCGATGTTGCTACCAACGTCAAGACACTACGTACTGTGTGTGTTGCTAGTGTGTTCACTGTCCCCAATGTGTGTGCTGCTAGTGTGTTCACACTGTACGTACTGTGTGCTGCTAGTGTGTTCACACTGTATGTACTGTGTGTTGCTAATTTGTGAAAAAAGTGCTGTGCGCTGTTAGTGTGTTCACACTGTGTGCTGCTAGTGTGTTCACACTGTACGTAGTGTGTGCTCCTAGTGTGCTCACACTGTATGTACTGTGTGTTGCTAATGTGTCCACACTGTGCTGTGTGCTGTTAGTGTGTTCACAATATGTGCTCCTAGTGTGCTCACACTGTAGTTACTGTGTTGTCTGCTAGTGTGCTCACACTGTGTGTGCTGATAGTGTGTTTGCATATGCATGTTTCACTCTAACAAATATATTATTGCAGGTCCTATTGGCCTTTTCTGTGTGGTAACGGCAATTGCACGAGGGGCAGCCAAGATATTAATAACGGGTTTGTTAAAATTTGTTGTTGCCTTTTCAGTTTTGCTGGATGCATTGTGAATGACGCATATAGGTGGTTTGTACCAGTATAACTGAATCCTTAATTACTATGAAGGGGATAATACTGTGAATTCTACACGGAAACCAGTAAATAGTTTTGAACAGAGGTGTCAGCACAGCCATATATGTAAGTGTTATCACACGTTAAAACACTGACTAGAGGGTCACCACAGCCATATATGTAAGAGTTATCACACGTTAAAACACTGACTAGAGGGTCAGCACAGCCATATATGTAAGAGTTATCACACGTTAAACGCTGACTAGAGGGTCACCACAGCCATATATGTAAGAGTTATCACACGTTAACACGCTGACTAGAGGGTCAGCACAGCCATATATGAAAGAGTTATCACACGTTAAAATATTGACTGGAGGGTCACAACAGCCATATATGTTAGTGTTATCACACGTTAAAATATTGACTAGAGGGTCACAACAGCCATATATGTAAGTGTTATCACACGTTAAAACATTGACTGGAGGGTCACATATACAGTTATCACCGTTAAAATATTGACTGGAGGGTGTTATCACGTTAAAACATTGACTAGAGATTTTCCTACAGCCATATATGTAAGTGTTATCACACGTTAAAACATTGACTGGAGGGTCACAACAGCCATATATGTAAGTGTTATCACACGTTAAAACATTGACTGGAGGGTCACAACAGCCATATATGTAAGTGTTATCACACGTTAAAACATTGACTGGAGGGTCACAACAGCCATATATGTAAGTGTTATCACACGTTAAAACATTGACTGGAGGGTCACAACAGCCATATATGTAAGTGTTATCACACACGTTAAAACATTGACTGGAGGGTCACAACAGCCATATAGGGTGTAAGTGTTATCACACGTTAAAACATTGACTGGAGGGTCACAACAGAGTAAGGTCACAACAGCCATATATGTAAGTGTTATCACACGTTAAAACATTGACTGGAGGGTCACAACAGCCATATATGTAAGTGTTATCACACGTTAAAACATTGACTGGAGGGTCACAACAGCCATATATGTAAGTGTTATCACACGTTAAAACATTGACTGGAGGGTCACAACAGCCATATATGTAAGTGTTATCACACGTTAAAACATTGACTGGAGGGTCACAACAGCCATATATGTAAGTGTTATCACACGTTAAAATATTGACTGGAGGGTCAGCACAGCCATACATGTAAGAGTTATCACACGTTAAAATATTGACTCACAACAGGAGGGTTACCACTGGAGGGGTGTGTAAGCCGTTAAAATATTTGGAGGGTCACAACAGCCATATATGTAAGTGTTACATGTACTGGAGGGTTACCACAGCCGTACGTGTACGTATTATCACACGTAAAAATACTGACCAGTGGGTCACCACAGCCATATATGTAAGTGTTATCACACGTTAAACTGTTGACTGGAGTGTCAGCACAGCCATATATGTAAGTTATCACACGTTAAAATATTGACTGGAGGGTCAGCACAGCCATATATGTAACAGTTATCACACGTTAAAATATTGACTGGAGGGTCAGCACAGCCATATATGTAACAGTTATCACACGGTAGAAAATTGACAGGAGGGTCACCACAGCCGTACATGTACGTATTATCACACGTAAAAATACTGACCAGTGGGTCACCACAGCCATATATGTAAGTGTTATCACACGTTAAACTATTGACTGGAGGGTCAGCACAGCCATATATGTACGTGTTATCATCCGTTAAAACACTGACTGGAGGGTCACCACAGCCATATATGTACGTGTTGTCATGCGTTAAAACACGAACTAGAGGGGCACCATAGCCATATTTGTACGTGTTATCATCTGTTAAAACACGGACTAGAGGGGCACCATAGCCATATATGTACGTGTTATCATCCGTTAGAACACTGACTGGAGTGTCGTTACAGCCGTATATGTAAGTGTTATCATGCGTTATAACACTGACTAGAGGGTCACCACAGCCATTATATTTAAGTGTTATCAGACGTTAAACGTTGACTAGAGGGTCACAGCCATGTGTGTGTGCGTGCGTGCGTTCGTGCGTGCGTGCGTGCGTGCGTTCGTGTTGCAATATGCTGTAACAGTACTATTGCCAATTGTATTTGTCTTCCAAAGGCCACAGCAACAGGAGGAAGGATTGTTCTGGTCGGATTTGGACCAGCTGAGGTACGGCTGCCACTGCTCAGCGCACAGTGTAGAGAGATCGACATATTCGGAATGACTACATTTGCCAATTCGTAAGTAATCACGAATCATATTTTATTATAATTCACATGTCTAATATACAATAACAACGGTTAAATCTGTAAAGTAATTAGTGAAATTACATAAATATAGGCAAAAACAGTTTGGCACTATTTAGTAACTGAGTATGGAAATTCACTTGTTCATTACTGGTATCAGCTTCAAACCTATGGTGCATGAACATGCGTCTGTTACATACTGTCATGTAACAAGCACCAAACCGTGACACCTGCGCTTCTGTCCAGGTACCCTGCAGCTCTGGCCATGGTCACCAGTGGTCAGGTGGACGTGAGGCAGCTCATCACTCACAGATACAGGCTGGAGGAGGCTCTTGACGCCTTCGAAGCAGCGAGACGCAGAGAGGGAGTTAAGATCATCATCAACTGCCAGAGAAAGTGACTCAACCTAAACCTGCGTCAAGTGTCTTCCACAGCCTCTACAGCAAACCAGGATTCGATTATACTTATCACCTTGGTCGTGTTGTACAATGTGTTTTTAATCTGGTAAACAAGTTAGGCCGTGGTCGAAATTTAAACAGGAGATCATTTCGGTGTATTGAAGAATGCCAGTCGGAGTATTATTTGAAGTGTGCATAATCTCATCAGACATGTACAGTTTTGGCATGTCCGTGTGTTCAAGACGCCCGAAAATCTTAGCATCAAAGGAATATCATGAATTAGAGAAGAGAATGACCCAAGCAATTATGAGTGAAGATGAAAACAGACGAAAAGTTCACATCTTTACAGCTGTATTCATGAGGACTATGTTGTATGTGTCCCTTTGACTCCACAACATATTCGGGTCAACCGATAAGTCAGATTTGACTTACCAGAGTAATACCTGTTTATAGTAGAGGGACCAGACAAATACATCCACGGAACTGTAGGCCATGTGTCAATGGTGCAGCTATAATAAATACTTTTCCTGTTACTTTCGTTTGTAAATACACCACATTATTGAATTGGTTATTTCAGATTAGAATATAAAACGTTTTCGTAAGTGTTTTATTCTTTTCATATGTGAACATGCATTAACTGCACCTAAAGACCCACTTCATGGCGTCACTGTATATCAGTCTTTCTATTGGTAGGAGTCACCCAGGTTTTTGGTACCAATCTCCCAGGGGGCGGTTTGTTCCGTATGTACTGTGTGGTCAAGCAACCTTACTACTTCTACAGGTGGAAAGGCAGGCATCAGGTTTGACCAGGGGCTCCTTTCACGAAACAACCTTTACTAAGGATTACTAAGGATAACCCATTCTTTAACACTGACTCATGATCACTTTAGTGCTAAATGTGAAAGGATGCCTAGGTGTGTTTACTAGGGGTGGTATTTTTGGACAGGTGGCTCCTGTGTTTGAATTTCCCAAAACAGAAATGTAGACATGTATTTGGCAATTTCTGTTGTCACAAAATGCAATTGCAGAACTGGAATGTTAATATCACTGTGCACATATATATATATATATATATCTTTGTATTGTTCATGAAAAAGGACAGAATATACTTTGTCGTTTGTCCAAAATAAGAAATTTTATTTACATTAAATATAATTTTCTGAGATGTCCTCTTATCTTAGTTATGGACATGCCCTCTGTAGATATTGTGTAAAATATGTAATAAGTCAGGATTTGTGAAGGCCAGATTTACTGAGCCAGTGAGTGTGTTAGTGAGTATGGTTTTACGCCGCTTTTAGCAATATTTCAGCAATATCACAGGGGGGACACCAGAAATTGGCTTCACACAATGTACCCATGTGCTGAATCGAACCCGGGTCTACAGGGTGATGAGCAAATGCTTTAACCACCAGGCAAGCCCACCAAGTGGATTGAGTACAAAGTAACTGACATGTTCCTGGTGTGTCAACACTCCAGGAATGTTCACCTGCAGCAGCTGCAGCCTCAAGGTGACACTTTGGAGACACTTGATAGAGTACTTCCTTGGGTGATAATCAGATAATGGCAACAGCGAGACCCAGACTCTCCAGTGTAGGGTACACAAGAGGGAGATTGACCATGAACATACACTGGCGAAGACACAGAACAGAACAACACAGAGCAAGAAGGTAAACACTGGTTCCCTGAAGCTGGGACTGAAACACCATGGGGAAAGCCATAGTGAACACTGAGCACTGACACTTGTAACACTTGGCAGTCGGCATTGACAGCAGCGGCACGAACATCGGGGAACTTCCTCCAGGTAACGGACATCTGAAGCAAGATATGAAAACATGTATACACAGTTGTGCCACATTCACCTGTAGTGTGTACCAGTACAGTACATGTATAGTTGTGCCACATTCACCTGTAGTGTGTACCAGTACAGTACATGTATAGTTGTGCCACATTCACCTGTAGTGTGTACCAGTACAGTACATGTATAGTTGTGCCACATTCACCTGTAGTGTGTACCAGTACAGTACATGTATATTTGTGCCACATTCACCTGTAGTGTGTACCAGTACAGTGCATGTATAGTTGTGCCACATTCACCTGTAGTGTGCACCAGTACAGTACATGTATAGTTGTGCCACATTCACCTGTAGTGTGCACCAGTACAGTACATGTATAGTTGTGCCATTCACATTCACCTGTAGTGTGTACCAAGTACAGTACATGTATAGTTGTGCCACATTCACCTGTAGTGTGTACCAGTACAGTGCATGTATATTTGTGCCACATTCACCTGTAGTGTGTACCAGTACAGTACATGTATAGTTGTGCCACATTCACCTGTAGTGTGTCACCAGTACAGTACATGTATAGTTGTGCCACATTCACCTGTAGTGTGTACCAGTACAGTACATGTATATTTGTGCCACATTCACCTGTAGTGTGTACCAGTACAGTGCATGTATATTTGTGCCACATTCACCTGTAGTGTGTACCAGTACAGTGCATGTATAGTTGTGCCACATTCACCTGTAGTGTGTACCAGTACAGTACATGTATAGTTGTGCCACATTCACCTGTAGTGTGTACCAGTACAGTACATGTATAGTTGTGCCACATTCACCTGTAGTGTGTACCAGTACAGTACATGTATAGTTGTGCCACATTCACCTGTAGTGTGTACCAGTACAGTGCATGTATATTTGTGCCACATTCACCTGTAGTGTGCACCAGTACAGTGCATGTATAGTTGTGCCACATTCACCTGTAGTGTGTACCAGTACAGTACATGTATAGTTGTGCCACATTCACCTGTAGTGTGTACCAGTACAGTACATGTATATTTGTGCCACATTCACCTGTAGTGTGTACCAGTACAGTGCATGTATATTTGTGCCACATTCACCTGTAGTGTGTACCAGTACAGTACATGTATAGTTGTGCCACATTCACCTGTAGTGTGTACCAGTACAGTACATGTATAGTTGTGCCACATTCACCTGTAGTGTGTACCAGTACAGTACATGTATAGTTGTGCCACATTCACCTGTAGTGTGTACCAGTACAGTGCATGTATAGTTGTGCCACATTCACCTGTAGTGTGCACCAGTACAGTACATGTATAGTTGTGCCACATTCACCTGTAGTGTGTACCAGTACAGTACATGTATATTTGTGCCACATTCACCTGTAGTCAGTACATGTATAGCTGTGCCACATGTACCAGTACAGTGCATGTATAGTTGTGCCACATTCACCTGTAGTGTGTACCAGTACAGTACAGTGTGTATGGTTGTGCCACATTCACCTGTAGTGTGTACCATATGGTTGTGCCACATTACAGTGTGTACACGTAGTGCAGTTGTGCCACATTCACCTGTAGTGTGTACCAGTACAGTACATGTATAGTTTGTGCCACATTCACCTGTAGTGTGTACCAGTACAGTACATGTATATTTGTGCCACATTCACCTGTAGTGTGTACCAGTACAGTGCATGTATATTTGTGCCACATTCACCTGTAGTGTGCACCAGTACAGTACATGTATAGTTGTGCCACATTCACCTGTAGTGTGCACCAGTACAGTACATGTATAGTTGTGCCACATTCACCTGTAGTGTGTACCAGTACAGTATGTATGTATTATAGTTGTGCCACATTCACCTGTAGTGTGTACCAGTACAGTGCATGTATAGTTGTGCCACATTCACCTGTAGTGTGTACCAGTACAGTACATGTATAGCTGTGCCACATTCACCTGTAGTGTGTACCAATACAGTACATGTATATTTGTGCCACATTCACCTGTAGTGTGTACCAATACAGTACATGTATAGCTGTTCCACATTCACCTGTAGTGTGCACCAGTACAGTGCATGTATAGCTGTGCCACATTCACCTGTAGTTTGTATGTGCCAGCTGTGCCATGGCCACGTACCAGTACAGTACATGTATAGTTATGCCACATTCACCTGTAGTGTGTACCAGTACAGTACATGTATAGTTGTGCCACATTCACCTGTAGTGTGTACCAGTACAGTACATGTATAGTTATGCCACATTCACCTGTAGTGTGTACCAGTACAGTACATGTATAGCTGTGCCACATTCACCTGTAGTTTGTACCAGTACAGTACATGTATAGTTATGCCACATTCACCTGTAGTGTGTACCAGTACAGTACATGTATAGTTGTGCCACATTCACCTGTAGTGTGTACCAGTACAGTACATGTATAGTTATGCCACATTCACCTGTAGTGTGTACCAGTACAGTACATGTATAGCTGTGCCACATTCACCTGTAGTGTGTACCAGTACAGTGCATGTATAGTTGTGCCACATTCACCTGTAGTGTGTACCAGTACAGTACATGTATAGCTGTGCCACATTCACCTGTAGTGTGTACCAGTACAGTACAGGTATAGCTGTTCCACATTCACCTGTAGTTTGTACCAGTACTGTGCATGTATAGTTGTGCCCCCTACACCTGTAGTGTGCACCAGTACAGTACATGTATAGCTGTGCCACATTCACCTGTAGTGTGTACCAGTACAGTGCATGTATAGTGGTGCCACATTCACCTGTAGTGTGTACCAGTACAGTACATGTATAGTTGTGCCACATTCACCTGTAGTGTGTACCAGTACAGTGCATGTATAGTTGTGCCACATTCACCTGTAGTGTGTACCAGTATGCTGTGTGTACACCTCAAAGCCAGTTCCAGCAGTGTTGGGACACAGGCGTCTGTGAGGTTGCCCACCTTTCGGATCTCCCATGGCAACGGCAGGGCCTTGCTACATGTCTCAGTGTGTTTGACTGTCACACAACAAATGTTGGACAGAATGGCATCAGACAACTTGGAGAGTGGAAGTGAGCCACATCTGCAGGGACATAAACATACACTGTGACCATCTGTAATACTTCTGCTGTGAGGTAAAGTTTTAATAGTTGAATGTTGAATAGCTTGATTAACACTTAGTGTAATATTATATCAGCATCATACCGTTGATAAACAAACTGCATACAAAGTCCCTTCCTAGATGATCAGCTTGAGGAGAAACGTATAAACCTACAGAGGTGTAAATGAACATTTGTCTTAGTGTGACCCACAGCATAGCCTCCACTCAAGGACGTGTCAAAGATAAACTAACACACAAGGCGTAGTAGGAATATATTCCCATACCTGTAGAATCCAACTTGTCGTTTTAGAAGGTCTATTGGCAAGACTGTCAAATAACAGTTACAATCCACAAAGATGGATTTCAGGTTCTCACTTGTACCCATATCTGTAACACATCAATTTAGAGGTGGGAGATTTCTCCTCACACCCTATTGAAATCCTCCACAAGGAATGGAATAACAACTCTAAGACATTGTACTATACACCAATTGGTGTTTAATAGGCAGCTGTGGTCATTAATTACATCAGAGGGGAACAGAGACTGCAATTCCAATGCACATACTGTGTACATATTGTACTTTGAACCTTGGCAGTGTGGTGTGTTACTGTTATTATCATTATCCCTGTTGCTTTTATCAACCATGACAAAACATGTTGGTAAACTGTAATCTTCAGGGGCCACAGACCTTGAGGGAGCATTATGATATTGTTTCCTGTGGCACTCATCTCCTTCAGTCGGGTAAGTTTGCAGATCTGACGTGGAATGGAGTGGAGTTGATTAGAGTCTACAGACAACACCTCTAAGTTCCTGCAGTCAAACAGTTCCAGTGGAAGTGATCTCAGTCGGTTGTTCATTGCCTCCAGACTCACAAGGTGGTGTAGATTGCCTACAGCTGAGTGTCAATCAAACATAACTAGTGAAATACATATCTGGACAGCACTTTTATCGCAATTCCACTCACAATTCAAGACATGGTGCTATTGTATTGCAGGTGACCTGGATAAGTAGTGTAGACCTTATGTCAATGAAGACAGACTCAGTTATCAAGTTCTGAGACTGTGTGAAAATAGTCTCTAACCCAATGTAACATCCCACCAGAAGCCTCTAGCTCAGTGTAACATCCCACCAGAAGGTTCTCTCTGAGTGTAACATCCCACCAGAAGCCTCTGGCTCAGTGTAACATCCCACCAGAAGCCTCTTGCTCAGTGTAACATCCCACCAGAAGCCTCTCACTCAGTGTAACATCCCATCAGAAGCCTCTCGCTCAGTGTAACATCCCACTAGAAACCTCTCACTCAGTGTAACATCTAACCAGAAGCCTCTCACTCAGTGTAACATCCCATCAGAAGCCTCTAGCTCAGTGTAACATCCCATCAGAAGCCTCTAGCTCAGTGTAACATCCAACCAGAAGCCTCTGGCTCAGTGTAACATCCCATCAGAAGCCTCTCACTCAGTGTAACATCCCAGCAGAAGCCTCTAGCTCAGTGTAACATCTAACCAGAAGCCTCTCACTCAGTGTAACATCCCACCAGAAGTCTCTCGCTCAGTGTAACATCTCACTAGAAACCTCTCACTCAGTGTAACATCCCACTAGAAGCCTCTAGCTCAGTGCAACATCCAACCAGAAGCCTCTCACTCAGTGTAACATCCCACCAGAAGCCTCTCGCTCAGTGTAACATCCAACCAGAAGCCTCTCACTCAGTGTAACATCCCATCAGTAGCCTCTAGCTCAGTGTAACATCCAACCAGAAGCCTCTCGCTCAGTGTAACATCCCACCAGAAGCCTCTAGCTCAGTGTAACATCCCATCAGAAGCCTCTCACTCAGTGTAACATCCCATCAGAAGCCTCTAGCTCAGTGTAACATCCAACCAGAAGCCTCTCGCTCAGTGTAACATCCCACCAGAAGCCTCTGGCTCAGTGTAACATCCCATCAGAAGCCTCTCACTCAGTGTAACATCCCAGCAGAAGCCTCTAGCTCAGTGTAACATCTAACCAGAAGCCTCTCACTCAGTGTAACATCCCACCAGAAGTCTCTCGCTCAGTGTAACATCTCACTAGAAACCTCTCACTCAGTGTAACATCTAACCAGAAGCCTCTAGCTCAGTGCAACATCCAACCAGAAGCCTCTCACTCAGTGTAACATCCCATCAGTAGCCTCTAGCTCAGTGTAACATCCAACCAGAAGCCTCTCGCTCAGTGTAACATCCCACCAGAAGCCTCTAGCTCAGTGTAACATCCCATCAGAAGCCTCTCACTCAGTGTAACATCCCATCAGAAGCCTCTAGCTCAGTGTAACATCCAACCAGAAGCCTCTTGCTCAGTGTAACATCCCACCAGAAGCCTCTGGCTCAGTGTAACATCCCATCAGAAGCCTCTCACTCAGTGTAACATCCCAGCAGAAGCCTCTAGCTCAGTGTAACATCTAACCAGAAGCCTCTCACTCAGTGTAACATCCCACCAGAAGTCTCGCTCAGTGTAACATCTCACTAGAAACCTCTCACTCAGTGTAACATCTAACCAGAAGCCTCTAGCTCAGTGCAACATCCAACCAGAAGCCTCTCACTCAGTGTAACATCCCATCAGTAGCCTCTAGCTCAGTGTAACATCCAACCAGAAGCCTCTCGCTCAGTGTAACATCCCACCAGAAGCCTCTAGCTCAGTGTAACATCCCATCAGAAGCCTCTCACTCAGTGTAACATCCCATCAGAAGCCTCTAGCTCAGTGTAACATCCAACCAGAAGCCTCTTGCTCAGTGTAACATCCCACCAGAAGCCTCTGGCTCAGTGTAACATCCCATCAGAAGCCTCTCACTCAGTGTAACATCCCACTAGAAGCCTCTAGCTCAGTGTAACATCCAACCAGAAGCCTCTCACTCAGTGTAACATCCCACCAGAAGCCTCTAGCTCAGTGTAACATCCCACCAGAAGCCTCTCGCTCAGTGTAATATAGCCCATATGCCTATAGCTCAGTGTAACATCGCATCCTATAACCTGTGCTCAGCATACCAATACAGTATGGCCCATTACCCACCATATGCCTTTCACAAAGTCATGGTAGAAAGTTATAGACTTATGACAGTCATAAGGATGAAGAAAAGACGAAAATGTTAACAGTGATACACCCACTTACATTTTGGCATGTGTGTGACCATGTTATATGCTAGCTTTAAGGACGTGAGTTTGGCAAGTCTGCCAATGGATTCTGGGAGAAATGTAAGACAGTTGGATCCAACATCCAGACACTCCAGATTAGAAAGATCGCCAATAGCTGAAAGCAAACAGCTGGAATTAGTATCCAGACAGCACACTATAAAACATTTACCTGCCTATCTGTTATCAGTGAGTGAAACATTGGCCAAATTGGTATTTAGCTCCCCACAAGTATTATCCTGAATCCTTTAGTTAATAAGATATCCAACCATAAGCCTAAACGGCACAAAGAAATTAGAGCGAGCAGAACTACTTCATTAATCTACAAACAGCAGTAAAAAGTGTAAGAAAAGAATACAATTATATAGTATGAAATAGTACCAGTTTGACTGTATCATTTGCACTTCCTACAATGTTCTCCAGCTTGATATGTGACCTAACTTCCAGAAAATCAGCTACAGGAAATACCAAATTAGGTGTATTCAAATGAAAAAGGATCAGGTCAACCTACATTGTTTGTCAAGGTTCAAGAATTATGTGCCTCACAACATGCTATTAAACAACTCCAACTTTGTCGACAGGAGTGCATCCACATATAGGGGCATTTAATTCACCAGTGCTATTGTCTGGCAAATCATAAATTTATGACAATGATCTATTTTTTTATGTGTTCATAGTAAATACTTATGCAGTGATATTTTTAATGAATACAAAAACTATTCCACACCCACCACGACAGACCACTTGAAACACAATAGTGAAGGCTTATCACAAAGACATTATTATGCACTACCATCAGAAAAATTGTTTTACAATACAACATTTTTTTTCCTTGTACATTAATCTGTAGTATTGATACCTGACATAGCAATACAGTGCTCACATTATAATGACTGATGAATCAATGTTTGTTTAAGAATCATTGACAACATTCTCTACACAATACATACTAAGATATAATATTGATTCCAGTTTACTTACTATTGGGTAAAGCTGTCAGTTTGTTACTATGCAAATACCTGTTGAGAAAAGAATGCTGCTTATTATGCCTTATATTTCAAGTACTGTTAAAAAAAGTACGGAATATTCAATCAAAATATTGGGCAAGGAAACGCTGTCACAACAATTAATAGTTTATATCTTTAGTGAGATAAATAGTTTGCCAATATAACAGGCACATCCAACTGAGATTTGCACTAGTTGAATGTCAGATCACCAATGGCTTGTTAGACAATGTTAGACAATGTTAGACAATATGCCAAAGCTCCCTACTGACCATCGCTGCTCCAAGACACGTCTGTCAATAACCTGTAAAGGTGTCCTGCCAGTCACAGTGATCCCAACTCACACAATCACTGAGCCACCCCCAAAACAATTGTCCTCTCTAACGTTAACGACCTGAAAACCAAGTATTATTGGTCCAGTGCTTCCATTCTTGACACCAATGCCATCTTGCTGTAACGTGATGGTCTGTCAATGGTAGGATAACACGTGCTCACGGTGTATGCAGGTTCCATATACGTAGCCCGGTACAAATCGTTAGTCCACTCACTCTAACACTTGTAGCACTGTGAAGCTCATCTTCAGATTGTGAGGCACTATAACCACAGTGTAGTAACAGCTGTTTTGATGATATGGTCATGTCAGAAATGTATGTTTTAACTAAATCACCAGTAGGGGAACGTGTGCACTGCACAGCTGATTGCTATTTCCGGTGCAGTATACGAGACAATTACACACTGTAATCTTAATCCCTGCATATAAGACATGCCAAGCAAGTAAGGGTTTAATTGCAAATTTGACATCTTTACTGACAAAGTCGTCTCCTCTTGTTTGTTTGTTCACGTAAAGCGATACTATGTCGATTTCTTACCCCTGAAAAAAAGTTTGACGAAAGTGTAACCCATAGATAAGCTGACACCCTTCTAAAGCCTGCTCTTTTTGGTCCTCAAAGTTCGGCTTATCTACGGTAATATACGGTATATGTAACTTAAAACAACATCACTGAAATGTACAGCAACACACTAACATGTTTTACTGCAAATTTTTAATTTTATTCCAACCATGTTCAGGTGCACATCTTGAAAAACATTTGTGCGAAATTGGCATTTTTTCACAAAATTCATAACACACTGTGAATGGAATAATAATTTTCCAAATCCATATGAAATCATACAATTTGGTTCCATAAAAATATCATCTCAAAATGGAATATCCAGTACTTTTTTAATAGTACATGTATACACAATAAGAATGTCAAATAACCTTGAAAGGACCATGATCATGGAAATGTCTCAACATCATTGCTATGATTAATGACTGAAGATTTGAAACATATCCACTGCATGAGAACAATAACAGTGATTTAATTCAAGTAAAATGTTGGATTTATAACTATATCTTATTTGTAACAAATACAAATTGAACAAACTGCCATTCATCTTCCCAAGACAAGAGTGGAATCTAGACTTTGACAATGGCTCATGGACACGCTAGCCTCAATAAGCTGATTGCCATTCCAATACTCACAGTACAACCAGATTCTGCAACATGTCGATTCTTTCAGGCTACAACAGAAGAACTTGATTTATTATCAGCTGGCTAGACCCACAAAAAACTGCATATAACAATATTCCACCATTGTTTGAAAATGTTCAAAACTTTACAGCTTGATATAACCTTAGTTGAAGTCAGCATCACACTTCTGACTACCTATAACTGAGTTCCTGTTGTCTGAGATCCAGTACATACCAGTGTTGTCAGACAATTCCTCTTGAGGTAGAGGTTAGTGATGTGTTTAAAGTCTTCAGTCTCCGTGAGCACTGTGGGCAGTTGTTGCAGCCCCTTGTAGTTGAGCTGCAAGATTTTGTCCCTTTTGTTGGCGTTGCATTCAGTGGTGGGTGTGTCTGAAGTCATCTGCTGACAAATCATATTTATTTCAATATATTTTGTGAAAAAAAGGGAAGAAAAGTTTCAAGAGATAAATTTTAACTTTCATATCCAGAAATCAATTGCAACCTTCTACTACCTATCTGAACAAAACCTTTGAACAAAAATGTAACGTTACACTCACATTTGTAATGAATCGCTAAAAAGCACTCTACATGAAATGCATGTGCATCATGAAATTGTGTATCACCCCGAGCTGAAGCCTATGGCTGTAGGCTTTCAAAAGCCACATCAACAGTACTCCACATGCTACTATACACGCCAAAAGAATGCAAAGACTGACAGAAGCTCAATGAAAAAAGTCAGTGGCCGTTTACAAGGAAGGGTATCGCTGCATGAGGTGGCATGGCACTTCGACATGTCCATACAGACCATCTCAAACCTATGGACGCGATACAATAATAATGGGAGTGTTCATGACAGACCCAGGTCAGGTCGACCTAGGGCTACCACCGCCACCCAGGATCACTACATCCGGTTGAGACATCTTCATTCACACACACCAGGACAACATCCACAACAACCCAAATCCCTGGACTGCGTCGAATTTCCAAACAATCTGTGAGCACAGAGTTGGGATCACTCATACATCAGCTCTGTAGGCGTAGTACAGTCGAGCACCGGTGTGTCGAACTCTGATAACTCGATATCTCGGTTGTCTTGATATAACATCTCGGTCCCGGCAGAATCCTTCATAATTTATCAATATTCAAGCTCTTTTAACTCGATACGGATGTCTCGATATTTCGGATATCTCGATATAATTTCCTGGTCCCAACAAGCAAAATTACCCTTTTAACTCAATATTTACAAGGCAACTCGATATTCACCTACTTTTCATGGGCAAGTATCCCTCTGAACTGAGGTTGTTTCCACACGTTTACACACGGTGCGGCATGAATCGAAGGGATGCGGTAATGTAAACTAATTAGGGTTAATTGAGTTGAAGGTGTCACCTGTTTGTTATTTAATTAGGATTAATTAAGAAGTAATTAATTAGGAAGTACTCACTGTTACGACTAAACACTACTGATAACGGATTATAGTTTCGAATCCAAACATACTGAGATTCCAATGAGGGTTTTGTGTAATCGCAGTTGAGAATGGCAGATGCGTTCACAAGATTTGTGGAATCAAGAGATGGAGGGCGAGATGAGGTATCATTCAAGATGGATACTGTAACATGAGCTTAATCGTGTGTGACTGCGATCCCTGTGAGTAACAAGAGTCATCAGAAGATGACATATCCCCCCGGCCCCCACATCTTTGAAAGAACAAATCATCTGACAGTTACAAGTCCAGCTTGATTTTAGACTACGTGCAAATCGTTCCATGGAAATCATGGAAAAAATAAATGACAAATATCTGCAAATAGCAAAAGGCACCACTTCAAGATCTGCCTCACATATCTGCCAAGTTTTGCTGAAAAATATTAAGAAGTTTTTGAGTTGTGCTCCGGAAACGAAACCTACTCCCTCCTTTTGGGACTAAGTCTGAATCGTTTCCATGGAAACCGGGAAAAATTAAAATGCCAAAAATCTGCAAATAGCAAAAGGCACCACTTAAGGTTATGTTTGATATATCTACGAATCCGAATCGTTTCCATGGAAACTGGGAAAAAAATAAATACCAAAAATCTGCAAATAGCAAAAGGCACCACTTAAGGTTCTGTTTGATATATCTACCAAGTCTTGTTGAAAAATATTGAACGTTTTTTTAGTTATGCTCCGGAAACGAAGCCCACCCGTCTTTAAGACTAAGTCCAAAACGTTTCCATGGAAACCGAGAAAAATAAAAATGACAATAATCTGTAATTAGCCAAAGGCACCACCTTAGGTTATGTTTGACATATCTACCAATTTTTGTTGAAAAACATCGAACGGTCTTTGAGTTATGCTCCGGAAACAAAATGATTACGGACGGACGGACGAGGCGACGACTATATCACACCGCATTACATATCTTCTGTTTGTTTTGTTTTTCTTTCATAGTGATATGTGATGATATGCCCTGGTCAGATGTCTCGATGTTCGGATAACTCGATATTTTTCTTGGTCCCATGAATATCGAGACAACGGTCCTCGACTGTAGTTTTAGGGGAGACGCCAAAAACGCAGAAGTTGATGACAGACAGATTACTTGTCACGTAACTTTCAGTCATAAAAACTTGAATAGAATCTATGAATCAGTTTTCTTACAAACTCACAATCTTTCTCTAGTATAAAGAAATTAAGAAAATAATCATTCAGAAAGCTAACATCTGATTGGCTCAAATACCTACACATCCTCTCAGACTAGGTGTTCAAAGTACACTCTGGGATCGCCTGTGGAATTTTTGTCAGACCTCATGTAGAATGCTGAGTTTTAGATGTAATTTTAAAGGAAACAACATTCCAACTTTTAGTCATTAAGACAGCACCACTTCAACAGATGCCAATTAGCATCAGCAACTCAATAATCTAAGTTTCTATCACCACACTCAGCAATATTCAAGCTATATGGGCGGTCTGTAAATAATTGAGTCTAACCCAGACAATCCAGTGATCAACATCATGTGTATCCATTTATGGAATTGGGATACGATGACATGTGTCAACACACACAGTCAGCGAGGCCCTGATTTCTCGAAACAAACTTAAGTCTGAGTTTTGACTTAAGTTACTCAAATTTGAGATATTAAACTCAAACATAGTTGGCAGTTTGAGTTTGGTGGATAGATTACTTAAGTTGTTTGGGCTTTTTATTTTAAAATGCACTTGAGTTAAAAAATTCAGCTGTTTCAAATTGTCAAACTCAGTTTGAAATCTGAGTAAAAACTTAAGTTTGTTTCGAGAAATCAGGGCACACAATCATGTGTTAGACACCTCTTACGACAAACATGGGTTACTGAAGACCAATTCTAACTCTGATCTTCACGGGTATCTGCAAGTGAAGCCTTGTACATGACCAGAAGACCAGAAGAATCCCCTTGAACCTTTCACCTTGCAAACTTGTACATGTGTGTAAATGTGTATGTACAGATACATACAGCAATCATGTGTACATTTTGTTTTGCAACAATGAAGTTCAGTTAATGCATACTGAACAGTTACAACCCTTAATTTGTCACATTACCTTGACTTTGAGGTGTTAAGGATATAGAGCAATCAGTGGTTCATATTTAACAATGATAATTTTAAAGGGGGAGGTAGGGGTTCATCAATTTTATATGCATGAATTGGGGGCAGCAATTTTGTACATACAAATATTAAAATATATTGTACATGCTTAGAAGCATGAATGAACCCCACTAAAATTATGTACAAAGTACGTGACCCCACTGCATGTCATGTACAAAACAATGACCCCCTTCCCCATAATCTTTAAGCTAAAATCTTCATCACCCCACCCCTAGCCATAAATTATGAACGATCCCTTAGATATCCCGACATGCTGAGATATTATATTATATATAGTATGACCAGAAATTATTGAGAATTTTAGGAATATGTTTAATTGGATTTCTAGTATAAACAACCTTGACCAGCTATCAAGTGCTTGGTTTCATTCAAGAGAGACAACTCCGTTAATCCTTTTTCATTAGTTTGTGAAGAGTTATCACCCTTTGTTTACTTGCTAGCAGACAACATTTTCAGTGATCCTCAGTAAGGATGATTTAGAGAAAAGGAAGTTGATTTTAGAGTATTATGACAAGGACATCAGATCAGCTAAAGTGATTTCAAGTAGAACAGGCATCCCTTTGTCCACTGTTTATCGTTTTTTGAAAAATATTGCAAATGGATATGGCACTGAGCACCAGGGAGGCGCAGGTAGGCCCAGAAAATTGACTGTCGGTGACAGGAGGCGGCTTGGTATTCTTGTTTCTAAAAACAAATGAAGGAGTTTAGAAAACCTAAGGCTGGATATGATTGATAGAGGAACTGTGGCTGTCTGTAAGGAGAAAATTAGAACTGAGCTGCATGCAATGGGTTGGCAGAAAAGTCGAGGAATTCCATCACCGATCATGTAACCTAAACAAGAAGACAAAGTCATCAATATCCCCCGCAATGGCAAAATACTCTTCATGATTATGTCTACGAGTTATGATTATGTCATATATTTAGGTGTGTATATAGAAAAGTGGAAGGAGAGTATTGAAAGGTTTCTAAAGTTCTGCTCCAGAAAGGAGCACTATCACCAATTTCAGTCTAAGTCAAACTTGTTGCCATGGAAACGCCAAAAATATTATTTTTAAATTCCAAAACTACCAAAAGGCCCCAGTACACCACCAGATCTATGTATGTGCCAAGTTTGGTGAAGAAATATTGAATGGTTTTAGAGTTCTGCTCCGGAAAAGAGCACTACTAACTTCTTTGATCAGTGGTATGCCCCGCCGTATTGAAGCCTGCATTGCTGCCCATGGTGACTTGACAAAATACTAACTGTTCACCTGTCTTTGACTTAATTCATTAAGCCCATTACAAAGGAACAAATATCATATGTGTTCCTTTGTAATGGGCTTAATGAATTAAGTCTTAAATGATAGCTTAATTAGTGTTTAAAATGCATATGTGACTCAAACACTGACTTTGAAAATAAATCTTCCTACTTTGGTATGTATCCACCAGCTAAATTTAGGGTGAGCTCTGTTAGTGGGTAGATCTAATTGCTAATGATTCACTTTGATCATTTGCATCAACGAAGTCGTTGAAGTGAACAGTAATGGAGCTTCTCAATTTGTGGACTAGTTACACGATTGAGTAACCAAAATAGTTTGTCGCTGCTCCCGACAGCGATTCCAGGTTCAATATACATTGACGTTATACCTACAATGGATGGTGGCATGCGATGCAAGAAACTTTCATGTTCTATAGAAAGGATCCCAGCCATGGGCTATCTATTAGTGGTTTATTGGAAACAATTATTACCGAGATAATATGATATTCAGCGTGTTTTTTGGACATTGTCTTTGATAGTTTCTAATCCCAATATATATCCCGGATAATATATTGAAAAACATAATATTTTAGGAAATGTATTCACTGCGGCATTGCAACATGGCCGCGCCCATTGAACATGCAACCAGATGTAAATCTTGAATACGTTGACTGTTACACATATTGAAATAGGTTTATGATCATCGTTGAATTTGTCATATGCGCGTACCCAGCGACATCACGTGTCTTCGCACACAGCTGTTTGAGGTAATCGTGTTTAACGTAGATTAGCGTAGCAATATACATTATACAATAGATACAAGCCGAGTAGATACCTAGCCCACAACTTAGTAACGGTAAAAACTGGCATCACGGTATATACTGCAGTACTGTCTTAATACAGGGGCGTTACAAGCCCCTGTGACCGAGCCGAGTCATATTTTAGAGCATCCTGCCTTTCCACACCCTGGGACAGGTATATAGGGCAAAACGTTTCGATGCTTATCAACTAAGGGTATTTCTCGAGTGGGGTGTCAGTTTTTTAAACAAAGTCAAAATACAGACATGTAACCAGTACCCTAAACGGGGAATGCATTCATATTCAGCAACCAAAAACCGTTGCCGTATGTAGTTACCCCTTAAAGACGATTTCAAGTGGCATTCATGTGCTTCGTGAAATATTTGTTTCTGTGTATATTTGTTATGTAATGCAATCAAATTAATCTAAATTCTACTACGAAAGTATGACAGTTCTGATTAAGCAAACGGCACAATGCAGAATGGATTCGTCCTAGGGTATGTTTCTGTATTTTGATTTGTGCTAGGGTATATGTTTCTGTATACAGATGTAAACAGAATATCAGACTGGGACCCACACCCAATCAGCTCATCATGTGCCCCTAAACATTGTAACATAGACGATAAATACAGTTACTGTACCACTCTTAGGGACAATGACTTTAAGGATTACCAGTTTGCAGCACAAAGAAATACTAGGTACAAGAAAGTGCAGGAAAACTCTAGGTCAATGTCCCAGTAAGCCATCGAAGACTATTGAACAATTAGCAGAAAGTGAGTCTGTTCCAGTACATACCCCTGAGGTAGATATTAATGTTCAGTCTATTGATATGGATTCATTTGGTCAGTAGAGGGTTCATTCTCACAGCAAAGACAAGTAATACTAGCTATTCAACAGCATCAACTGCAAGATATAGAGAAATCACTGAACAGTCTACACCAGTGTCGTCACTGTCACCAAATTTAACTTCAGGTTTGATACAAGATTTAGATAGTACTGAGCCTTCACTTAATGGATATTCTGCATAAGAACTGAGGCATTGATAAGGCCAAATGCCATTCTTCCAAACTCATATCTTCAAGATCTGCACATCTCATGAATTCAAAATTAGGTTGCTGCCCACACACATCTCATCCATTGTGTTCACCACTAATTTTTATTTTCTAACTATTGGTATATTATGGAAATGAAGACAGTGACAGGCACTGTCTGGTCATGTCAGAAGACATTGCGCAAACTTGGTGGTAGGATGCATTTGGTTGAGACGTTTCATAACATTGAGATATTTTGTAACACAGAATGTTCCACTGTATCTCAGGTTAAGGAAGAGAGAAGCAAAAAGTCAGGATAAGTATAAAATAATTTTGTACTCTCAGAAATACATACTTGCAGTTTAACCTCATCTGAAGCAAAATGAGAAACCTACAGTTACTGGAGAAACCTACAGTTACTGTCAGCACATCAGGTGGAAGCACGCTGTACAGTGGTTGATAGATGTCCAGTCTGACAATGGATGACCAGTCAGACCCACACCAACCTGTCTGGTGGATGTCCACAGGACACAGGACCAGCTGTACACTGTAGGACCAACCTGTCTGTATGCTGTAGATGTCCAGTCAGGACAGGTAAGTTGACCAGTCACTGGACCCAGGCACTGTATGCTGTAGATGTCCAGTCAGGACAGGTAAGTTGACCTGTCAGGACCAACCTGTCTGTATGCTGTAGATGTCCAATCAGGACAGGTAAGTTGACCAGTCACTGGACACAGACACACTGTACACTGTAGGACCAACCTGTCTGTATGCTGTAGATGTCCAATCAGGACAGGTAAGTTGATCAGTCACTGGACACAGACACACTGTACACTGTAGGACCAACCTGTCTGTACGCAGTAGATGTCCAGTCAGGACAGGTAAGTTGACCAGTCAATGGACATGAATCAGTCCAACTATGTGCTCTGTGAATGCCCAGCATCTCATTACACTCTACGGTAAGCATTAAAGACCTGTATCACCTCAGTCTCTAAATCCTGATCTAAATGAATCATCATTAAATAAATGGAAGAATGTTCTAAGTGGCATTAAATCCAGTTCATTCACTCATTCTCTATATGCTGTCTCCAGTCACAATCTATTACTGATGTCTACCTGAAAACCTTAGACATCATCAAACAAATGTAGGTTTTATGTGAGCAAACACTGTAGCTGTTGTTTCCAGGTGCTTAATTCAGTCTGTTTGACTGATGAAGATTTCCTCCCCGTGGACGGGACAGGGTGCATTGTGGGTGTGCAGTATCTGGCAGACCAACAAGGTGTATGTGTTGCGGCAGGCAATGGTAACCTGCTTGTCTGGAGTGTGTGTACTGGACAGGTGAGAAAACTGCCTTTATGTTTACATCAACAAAATATTGTGCAGATGTTTGAATTTGAATTGACATGTTTCGAAGAATCAACATTAATCCTGTTGGCAGTGGACACAGAAAATTTCTATTACTCATTATTATTGATTATTTTGTTGTTGAAGTATGTGATATTCAAAATCAGCTTCTGTTTGCTGGTGACTAAACAACCAAATGCTAAACTTCAGGTTATCATTTCATTCCTGGTTAGCAGGGTAGAAAGACATATACACAGTGAAACTCTGTCAGTTAACATCTAGATATTTTGCTTGGTGTTGAGACTCAAAGTTTAGATCATTCATTTTGACACTTCAGGGGCAAACATTAAAACTGAGGTACTGTGATAATTATGGAAAGGTCGATACTGCATGGCACAATGAATCTTTGTATATAGTGTTTTAAAATATTGAAGTAAACAATTTGATTATTATATAATATTGTGAAACATGTCATTTGCTGTGATGATTGTCTTGATCACTGATATACTTGGTTCAGATTGAGTGTGTTGGCAGTGTGGAGAGTGGGTTCACAGCCATGGCCTGGAGTCCAGACCTAGAGGTCCTTGTCCTCGCAACAGGTAGGTCACATGATGACATCAGTTACTGTCAGTGTTTGTCCTTTCAACATGCAGGTCATGTGATGATATCACTTACTGTCAGTGTTTGTCCTTGCAACAGGTACGCACATGATGATATCAGTTACTGTCTGTGTTTCTCTTTGCAACATGTAGGTTACGTGATGATATCAGTTACTGTCAGTGTTTGTCCTTTCAACAGGCAGGTCATTTGATGATATCAGTTACTGTCCGTGTTTGTTCTTGCAACATGCAGGTCATGTGATGATATCAGTTACTGTCAGTGTTTGTCCTTGCAACATGCAGGTCATGTGATGTTATCAGTTACTGTCTGTGTTTGTCTTTGCAACAGGTAGGTCACATGATGATATCAGTTACTGTCAGTGTGTGTCTTTGCAACATGCAGGTCATGTGATGATATCACTTACTGTCAGTGTTTGTCCTTGCAACAGGTACGCACACATGATGATATCAGTTACTGTCAGTGTTTGTCCTTGCAACATGTAAGTCACGTGATGATATCAGCTACTGTCAGTGTTTGTACTCTCAACAGGTAGGTCCTGTGATGTGATAAACGTTAAGTAATAAGCAATAAGGTTTTATTTTTCACACCAAAAGTAAGCTAAAACTGTTTGTGTCTTGAACAGTGCTGAAGATAAAGTCCTATTTCAGGTGATGAGACCCTGATCATGATGACAAGAGAGTTTGACCCTATCACAGAGGTCTCACAGCACCCTCAAGACACAGGGGAAGGTGGGTGTCCACAGTGCTAGTTGTTGATACAGAGATGGTGGGTGTCCACATGACTAGTTGTTGATACAGAGATGGTGGGTGTCCACACTACTAGTTGTTGATGCAGAGATGGTGGGTGTCCACAGTGCTAGTTGTTGATACAGAGATGGTGGGTGTCCACAGTGCTAGTTGTTGATACAGAGATGGTGGGTGTCCACACTACTAGTTGTTGATACAGAGATGGTGGGTGTCCACAGTGCTAGTTGTTGATACAGAGATGGTGGGTGTCCACATGACTAGTTGTTGATACAGAGATGGTGGGTGTCCACACTACTAGTTGTTGATGCAGAGATGGTGGGTGTCCACAGTGCTAGTTGTTGATACAGAGATGGTGGGTGTCCACACTACTAGTTGTTGATACAGTGATGGTGGGTGTCCACAGTGCTAGTTGTTGATACACAGATGGTGGGTGTTCACAGTGCTAGTTGTTGATGCAGAGATGGTGGGTGTCCACACTACTAGTTGTTGATACAGTGATGGTGGGTGTCCACAGTGCTAGTTGTTGATACAGAGATGGTGGGTGTCCACAGTGCTAGTTGTTGATACAGAGATGGTGGGTGTCAGTGTTACTGGTGGTTGAAGTGCGGATATCAGGTATCCATGTTGCTTGTTGTTGATGCAGAGATGGTGGGTGTCCACACTACTAGTTGTTGATACAGAGATGGTGGGTGTCCACAGTGCTAGTTGTTGATGCAGAGATGGTGGGTGTCCACAGTGCTAGTTGTTGATACAGAGATGGTGGGTGTCCACAGTGCTAGTTGTTGATACAGAGATGGTGGGTGTCCACACTACTAGTTGTTGATACAGAGATGGTGGGTGTCCACAGTGCTAGTTGTTGATACAGAGATGGTGGGTGTCCAAAGGACTAGTTGTTGATACAGAGATGGTGGGTGTCAGTGTTACTGGTGGTTGAAGTGCGGATATCAGGTATCCATGTTGCTTGTTGTTGATGCAGAGATGGTGGGTGTCCACACTACTAGTTGTTGATACAGAGATGGTGGGTGTCCAAAGTGCTAGTTGTTGATACAGAGATGGTGGGTGTCCAAAGGACTAGTTGTTGATACAGAGATGGTGGGTGTCCACAGGACTAGTTGTTGATACAGAGATGGTGGGTGTCCAAAGTGCTAGTTGTTGATACAGAGATGGTGGGTGTCCACAGGACTAGTTGTTGATGCAGAGATGGTGGGTGTCCAAAGGACTAGTTGTTGATACAGAGATGGTGGGTGTCCACAGGACTAGTTGTTGATGCAGAGATGGTGGGTGTCCAAAGGACTAGTTGTTGATACAGAGATGGTGGGTGTCCACAGGACTAGTTGTTGATACAGAGATGGTGGGTGTCCACAGGACTAGTTGTTGATACAGAGATGGTGGGTGTCCAAAGGACTAGTTGTTGATACAGAGATGGTATGTGTCCACAGTGCTAGTTGTTGATACAGAGATGGTGGGTGTCCAAAGGACTAGTTGTTGATACAGAGATGGTGGGTGTCCACAGGACTAGTTGTTGATACAGAGATGGTGGGTGTCCAAAGGACTAGTTGTTGATACAAAGATGGTGGGTGTCCAAAGGACTAGTTGTTGATACAGAGATGGTGGGTGTCCACAGTGCTAGTTGTTGATACACAGATGGTGGGTGTCCAAAGTGCTAGTTGTTGATACACAGATGGTGGGTGTCCACAGGACTAGTTGTTGATGCAGAGATGGTGGGTGTCCAAAGGACTAGTTGTTGATACAGAGATGGTGGGTGTCCAAAGGACTAGTTGTTGATACAGAGATGGTGGGTGTCCACAGTGCTAGTTGTTGATGCAGAGATGGTGGGTGTCCACACTACTAGTTGTTGATGCAGAGATGGTGGGTGTCCAAAGTGCTAGTTGTTGATACACAGATGGTGGGTGTCCACAGGACTAGTTGTTGATGCAGAGATGGTGGGTGTCCAAAGGACTAGTTGTTGATACAGAGATGGTGGGTGTCCACAGGACTAGTTGTTGATACACAGATGGTGGGTGTCCAAAGTGCTAGTTGTTGATACACAGATGGTGGGTGTCCACAGGACTAGTTGTTGATACAGAGATGGTGGGTGTCAAAGGACTAGTTGTTGATACAGAGATGGTGGGTGTCCAAAGGACTAGTTGTTGATACAGAGATGGTGGGTGTCCACAGTGCTAGTTGTTGATGCAGAGATGGTGGGTGTCCACACTACTAGTTGTTGATGCAGAGATGGTGGGTGTCCAAAGGACTAGTTGTTGATACAGAGATGGTGGGTGTCAGTGTTACTGGTGGTTGAAGTCACGGATATCAGGATCCATGTTGCTTGTTGTTGATGCAGAGATGGTGGGTGTCCACAGTGCTAGTTGTTGATACAGAGATGGTGGGTGTCCACAGTTCTAGTTGTTGATGCAGAGATGGTGGGTGTCCAAAGGACTAGTTGTTGATACAGAGATGGTGGTGTGCCAGTGTTACTGGTGGTTGAAGAGATGGATATCAGGCATCCATGTTGATACAGTTGTTGATGCAGAGATGGTGGGTGTCCACAGTGCTAGTTGTTGATACAGAGATGGTGGGTGTCCACAGTGCTAGTTGTTGATACAGAGATGGTGGGTGTCCACACTACTAGTTGTTGATACAGAGATGGTGGGTGTCCACACTACTAGTTGTTGATACAGAGATGGTGGGTGTCCACATTACTAGTTGTTGATACAGAGATGGTGGGTGTCCACAGTGCTAGTTGTTGATACAGAGATGGTGGGTGTCCACAGTGCTAGTTGTTGATACAGAGATGGTGGGTGTCCACACTACTAGTTGTTGATACAGAGATGGTGGGTGTCCACAGTGCTAGTTGTTGATACAGAGATGGTGGGTGTCCACAGTGCTAGTTGTTGATACAGAGATGGTGGGTGTCCACAGTGCTAGTTGTTGATACAGAGATGGTGGGTGTCCACAGTGCTAGTTGTTGATACAGAGATGGTGGGTGTCCACAGTACTAGTTGTTGATACAGAGATGGTGGGTGTCCACAGGACTAGTTGTTGATACAGAGATGGTGGGTGTCCACAGGACTAGTTGTTGATGCAGAGATGGTGGGTGTCCAAGCTGACTAGTTGTTGATACAGAGATGGTGGGTGTCCACAGTGCTAGTTGTTGATACAGAGATGGTGGGTGTCCAAAGGACTAGTTGTTGATACAGAGATGGTGGGTGTCCACTGGACTAGTTGTTGATACACAGATGGTGGGTGTCCAAAGTGCTAGTTGTTGATACACAGATGGTGGGTGTCCACAGGACTAGTTGTTGATGCAGAGATGGTGGGTGTCCAAAGGACTAGTTGTTGATACAGAGATGGTGGGTGTCCAAAGGACTAGTTGTTGATACAGAGATGGTGGGTGTCCACAGTGCTAGTTGTTGATGCAGAGATGGTGGGTGTCCACAGTGCTAGTTGTTGATGCAGAGATGGTGGGTGTCCAAAGGACTAGTTGTTGATACAGAGATGGTGGGTGTCAGTGTTACTGGTGGTTGAAGTGCGGATATCAGGTATCCATGTTGCTTGTTGTTGATGCAGAGATGGTGGGTGTCCACAGTGCTAGTTGTTGATACAGAGATGGTGGGTGTCCACAGTGCTAGTTGTTGATGCAGAGATGGTGGGTGTCCACACTGTCCACTAGTTGTTGATACAGAGATGGTGGGTGTCCACACTACTAGTTGTTGATACAGAGATGGTGGGTGTCCACACTACTAGTTGTTGATACAGAGATGGTGGGTGTCCACAGTGCTAGTTGTTGATACAGAGATGGTGGGTGTCCACAGTGCTAGTTGTTGATACAGAGATGGTGGGTGTCCACACTACTAGTTGTTGATACAGAGATGGTGGGTGTCCACAGTGCTAGTTGTTGATACAGAGATGGTGGGTGTCCACAGTGCTAGTTGTTGATACAGAGATGGTGGGTGTCCACACACTAGTTGTTGATACAGAGATGGTGGGTGTCCACAGTGCTAGTTGTTGATACAGAGATGGTGGGTGTCCACAGTGCTAGTTGTTGATACAGAGATGGTGGGTGTCCACACTACTAGTTGTTGATACAGAGATGGTGGGTGTCCACAGTGCTAGTTGTTGATACAGAGATGGTGGGTGTCCACAGTGCTAGTTGTTGATACAGAGATGGTGGGTGTCCACAGTGCTAGTTGTTGATACAGAGATGGTGGGTGTCCACAGTGCTAGTTGTTGATACAGAGATGGTGGGTGTCCACAGTGCTAGTTGTTGATACAGAGATGGTGGGTGTCCACAGTGCTAGTTGTTGATACAGAGATGGTGGGTGTCCACACTACTAGTTGTTGATACAGAGATGGTGGGTGTCCACACTACTAGTTGTTGATACAGAGATGGTGGGTGTCCACAGTGCTAGTTGTTGATACAGAGATGGTGGGTGTCCACAGTGCTAGTTGTTGATACAGAGATGGTGGGTGTCCACACTACTAGTTGTTGATACAGAGATGGTGGGTGTCCACAGTGCTAGTTGTTGATACAGAGATGGTGGGTGTCCACAGTGCTAGTTGTTGATACAGTTGATGGTGGGTGTCCACAGTGCTAGTTGTTGATACAGAGATGGTGGGTGTCCACAGTGCTAGTTGTTGATACAGAGATGGTGGGTGTCCACACTACTAGTTGTTGATACAGAGATGGTGGGTGTCCACAGTGCTAGTTGTTGATACAGAGATGGTGGGTGTCCACAGTGCTAGTTGTTGATACAGAGATGGTGGGTGTCCACAGTGCTAGTTGTTGATACAGAGATGGTGGGTGTCCACAGTGCTAGTTGTTGATACAGAGATGGTGGGTGTCCACAGTGCTAGTTGTTGATACAGAGATGGTGGGTGTCCACAGTGCTAGTTGTTGATACAGAGATGGTGGGTGTCCACAGTACTAGTTGTTGATACAGAGATGGTGGGTGTCCACAGTGCTAGTTGTTGATACAGAGATGGTGGGTGTCCACAGTGCTAGTTGTTGATACAGAGATGGTGGGTGTCCACAGTGCTAGTTGTTGATACAGAGATGGTGGGTGTCCACAGTGCTAGTTGTTGATACAGATAGATGGTGGGTGTCCACACTACTAGTTGTTGATACAGAGATGGTGGGTGTCCACAGTGCTAGTTGTTGATACAGAGATGGTGGGTGTCACAGTGCTAGTTGTTGCTAGTTGTTGATACAGAGATGGTGGGTGTCCACAGTGCTAGTTGTTGATACAGAGATGGTGGGTGTCCACAGTGCTAGTTGTTGATACAGAGATGGTGGGTGTCCACAGTGCTAGTTGTTGATACAGAGATGGTGGGTGTCCACAGTGCTAGTTGTTGATACAGAGATGGTGGGTGTCCACAGTGCTAGTTGTTGATACAGAGATGGTGGGTGTCCACAGTGCTAGTTGTTGATACAGAGATGGTGGGTGTCCACAGTGCTAGTTGTTGATACAGAGATGGTGGGTGTCCACAGTGCTAGTTGTTGATACAGAGATGGTGGGTGTCCACAGTGCTAGTTGTTGATACAGAGATGGTGGGTGTCCACAGTGCTAGTTGTTGATACAGAGATGGTGGGTGTCCACAGTGCTAGTTGTTGATACAGATGATGGTGGGTGTCCACAGTGCTAGTTGTTGATACAGAGATGGTGGGTGTCCACAGTGCTAGTTGTTGATACAGAGATGGTGGGTGTCCACAGTGCTAGTTGTTGATACAGAGATGGTGGGTGTCCACACTACTAGTTGTTGATACTTGAGATGGTGTTTGCATATTCAAGCTCCTTCATATCTCTCTGAACTTCTCACTGTGTACTCCCTACCAGAACTCTCAGATGCTCATAGAGAGACCAAGGGTCTTCTCCGCTCAGCAAAGTTCTCCTTTCTTCTTTACAGAGGTCTTTGGTGGGTGGTCCACTCTGTGGATTTCTCTGTCTCCACATAAAGCAGTCATGCACATTGGAAACTGCTTCATAAATTAAGTTGAAGACTTTCTTTTTCCAAAGCCTATCCCTAAAATCAATCTGGGTGTCATCAATTTCAATGTATACTTATTTTGTTGATTTTATATCCTCTGTATGCATTGTATGTATGCTTTATGTAGCCATGGCGGCATGTATCAGTAGTGGAAAATGTTGATACAGAGATGGTGGGTGTCCACAGTGCTAGTTGTTGATACAGAGATGGTGGGTGTCCACAGTGCTAGTTGTTGATACAGAGATGGTGGGTGTCCACACTACTAGTTGTTGATACAGAGATGGTGGGTGTCCACAGTGCTAGTTGTTGATACAGAGATGGTGGGTGTCCACACTACTAGTTGTTGATACAGAGATGGTGGGTGTCCACAGTGCTAGTTGTTGATACAGAGATGGTGGGTGTCCACAGTGCTAGTTGTTGATACAGAGATGGTGGGTGTCCACAGTGCTAGTTGTTGATACAGAGATGGTGGGTGTCCACAGTGCTAGTTGTTGATACAGAGATGGTGGGTGTCCACACTACTAGTTGTTGATACAGAGATGGTGGGTGTCCACAGTGCTAGTTGTTGATACAGAGATGATGGGTGTCACAGGACTAGTTGTTGATACAGAGATGGTGGGTGTCCACAGTGCTAGTTGTTGATACAGAGATGGTGGGTGTCCACAGTGCTAGTTGTTGATACAGAGATGGTGGGTGTCCACAGTGCTAGTTGTTGATACAGAGATGGTGGGTGTCCACAGTGCTAGTTGTTGATACAGAGATGGTGGGTGTCCACACTACTAGTTGTTGATACAGAGATGGTGGGTGTGCCACAGATGGTGTCCATAGTTGTTGATACAGAGATGGTGGGTGTCCACAGTGCTAGTTGTTGATGCAGAGATGGTGGGTGTCCACAGGACTAGTTGTTGATACAGAGATGGTGGGTGTCCACAGTGCTTGTTGTTGATACAGAGATGGTGGGTGTCCACAGGACTAGTTGTTGATACACAGATGGTGGGTGTCCACAGTGCTAGTTGTTGATACAGAGATGGTGGGTGTCCACAGTGCTAGTTGTTGATACAGAGATGGTGGGTGTCCACAGTGCTAGTTGTTGATACAGAGATGGTGGGTGTCCACAGGACTAGTTGTTGATGCAGAGATGGTGGGTGTCCACAGGACTAGTTGTTGATGCAGAGATGGTGGGTGTCCACAGTGCTTGTTGTTGATACAGAGATGGTGGGTGTCTACAGGACTAGTTGTTGATACACAGATGGTGGGTGTCCACAGTGCTAGTTGTTGATACAGAGATGGTGGGTGTCCACAGTGCTAGTTGTTGATACAGAGATGGTGGGTGTCCACACTACTAGTTGTTGATACAGAGATGGTGGGTGTCCACAGTGCTTAGTTGTTGATACAGAGATGGTGGGTGTCCACAGTGCTAGTTGTTGATGCAGAGATGGTGGGTGTGCACAGGACTAGTTGTTGATGCAGAGATGGTGGGTGTCCACAGTGCTTGTTGTTGATACAGAGATGGTGGGTGTCTACAGGACTAGTTGTTGATACACAGATGGTGGGTGTCAGTGTTACTGGTGGTTGATGTGGGGATATCAGGTATCCATGTTGCTTGTTGTTGATGCAGGGATGGTGGGTGTCAATGTTACTGGTGGTTGATACAGGGATGGTGGGTGTCAGTGTTACTGGTGGTTGATGTGGGGATGTCAGGTATCCATGTTGCTTGTTGTTGATGCAGGGATGGCAGGTTTGAACATGAGTAGTAGATGTTGTTGGCATGATTGGTAGTTAGATTTGGATACTGAGAAGTGTGAGGCATCCATATTACAAGTTAGGGTGTGTTTGATGTCAGTGTTTCCAGTGTCAGTGATACAGGTATGTCCATTTTTCAGCTGCCTTGGTAGATGTTGGATGGGGTAAGAAGGAGACTCAGTTCCATGGGTCTGAGGGCAAGGCAGCTGCACAGGAGAAAGCAAAGGTAAGGTATTTAGGGAGAGAGAGGGTCTGTACAACATACACTAGCAGTTGAAACAACACTTTGAATTCAAGTAAGGGTGAGGTGTTTCTAAAGCCACTTTGTTGCATACCTAGAATAAGAAACTTATTGAAACTATTCATAATTTGCCAGGAAGAATATTATTCTTTTTCATAGAGATCGTCCTTGGGGTACATATATGCATTTTCTGCGCTGAAAATGTCCTCTGACAGTTGTATCAATGTTTAATAAAAATATTGTACAATAAATAAAAGTCTTTTTTATCTATTATACGACCCCCACCCCGAGATACCTCCCGCTACGCATCCGCAGCCAACCAGGTAAGCACCTAGGCCCGTATCATCATTCCTTCTGCTGTCACTCCACTGAACGGATGTGTAGAGTTGAGCTGAATACCTTGTCTAATGTAAAGAGATAATGTCTGAGACACCACCACCTGTATGTATGGTCTTTATTTTGTCCTTTAAGACTTAACAGTAAGACTTTTGCGGTCGGTTTTCTCATAATTGTGACTTTGTATTAAATTTTTTACTCTAGCTTTCCCGAGGTTTACACACGTGTTGCTTTGCCATGGTGGGAAGTTTAGCGTGCCACGTGGTTGTCATATTGCATTTTAACCAAGTATTTCTTCCCATGATCGCATTCACGTAATTTTCAATGTTTTGTACGTGTATATTTATGCTGCTGGCTCTGCTGTTAGCTACATGCTTGCGTGTTTGCTTTCAGGCGTTTCCTGGGGTTCCGGTCCCTGCGCCGTCCCGCCCCATGAGAGCGGAGGTACCAGTTTTGCCTGGTATTCCTCCCGCGTCTCGGGACCGGGATTTGAGTGTGGTGTCGGGTGCTGAAGCGGGGAGTTCCTTTGGCTCTTCCCTTCCCTCTGTGTCTGGTGCTAGGCCTCCCACCTGGTCGGGGTTCGGGTCCTCTTCGCGAGGAGACCCAGCCTCTGACTTGGGCTCGGGTGTCGAGTCCATGGACGTTGGGGAGGTCGAGGAGCCGGAGGGCGCTTTCCGTTTCTCGGCGGCTCTGCGGGAGAGAGGCACGCAGCGCATTGCTGAGTTTATCCCCAGGCAGCGGTACCTACCAGCCGCTTGACTCGTCTAAGTTCTGCCTGCCGGGCGAGGCGTTTGCCCCTAGGCAACCCTCGCAGACGCTGCTCCGCATCTTGCCGTCCCTGGTGCAGGACGTGGTGGATCCCCTCCTGGTTGGGACATGCCTCCGGTTCAACTTGCCCGAACTTGTCAAGAGGTACCAGCTGGGGGACGATTCCCTGTTCTTTGTACCAGTGGTCGATGAGTGTGTGTTTACTTCGGTCGCCCTGGGGGGAGGCTTGGCTTCCTCCGGTGCAGCCCCGGCTGCCAGGCGAGGGCGTTTAGTGCCACCGTTTGCACTTGCGGGCGCCCCCCTGCGGCAGGCTTACCGGACCTACGAGGTGCGGGTGGTCATCCACGAGGCCTACCTCTCCTCGATTCAGAGGTCGGCCCTGGAGGCTGAGGGGAACGCTGGGGACGTCTCCCCGCATGTTGTTCTTTTACGCCAACTATCCGAAGTTCAGGCCCACCTAGCGCACGACTCCTTGCGGTCAGCGGCATCTACGGTGATGTGCGCAGTCATGGGGATGCACAAGCTGTGGCTGTCGACGTCTCGCTACTCGGCAGCTACACAGCAGACCTTGCTGGCCCTTCCCTTCCGTCTGGGAGCGACATCGTTTCCTGGGGCCCAGCAGGTCATACGGGAGGCTGCTGCTGCAGCTACCTCATTCAAGGATTCTAAGGCCTAGTTGGAGCACCCGCGGGCTTCTCGCCCCCGCGCTCTCTTTCCGGCTTCCTCCTCCTGGGTGCAGCCTACACCCGAGTCTGCCGGCTGGCTTCGGCCACTGGGCAGGGGTAGGCGGAGGAGCCGTCCCGCCAAGGGTAAGGGCAAGGAGCAGTCCTCCTCGTCTGGCTCCCAGCCTTTTCTCGGGCGCGGGAGGTCTGACCCGACCTCCCGTTAACCCAACAGGCTGTCGCCGTGGATCTGTCCCAGTCAGCTCAGCTACTCGGGACCACTCACGCTCTCTTACCACACGTCCCAGTGGGGGGCCGCCTCTCTCTATTCCTGCCGGAGTGGGAGAAGGCTACCAGCAAAACTCGGGTGCTTTCCACCGTCACTGTCGGCCATCTACCACTGTGGAAGCGAGGCCCGCCAGACTTCACCGGCATACGTCGCACTCTGGTGCCGTCATGTCAGGTCAGGGCGGGTATCCTGCGAGACGAGGTTCAGGCTTTGCTGGACAAGTCCGCAATAGAGCACATACCACCGGGCGAGGAACAGGCGGGATTTTATTCCACGTACTTCCTCGTTCCGAAGAAAGACGGCGGGTTCCGTCCCATTCTCAACCTCAAGGGGTTGAATCGCATGCTAGAGGTTCCATCCTTCAAGATGGAGACACTTCGCTCGGTGATCTCCTCTGTTCAGCCCGGCGATTGGCTCACATCGATCGACCTAAAGGTTGCGTATCTACATGTGCCCATTCATCCATCGTTCAAGCAGTACCTCCGGTTCTCTTACGACGGGATGAATTACCAATTCACGGTGCTCCCCTTCGGCATATCCACTGCCCCAGGGTGTTCACCAAGCTCATGTTAGTGCCGGCTACCCTCGCTCGATCGCCAAGGAAGGCGTTGTTACCCTTACCTCGGCGACTGGTTGCTCAGCACGCTAACTCAGCCAGCGAGCCTAGATTCTACTCACACAGTGATAGACATTCTAGTTTGACTGGGGTGGATCATCAACCTCAAGAAATCCGACCTGGTACCCACCAAGGACTTGGTTTTCTCGGTAGCGGTTCCAAACTCAAAGGATCTTGTCTCCTTGTAAGCCCGACCGTGTCACCAGAGTGCGGGAGATGGTGTCTTCGTTCCTCTCCCAGCCCCAGGCACCAGCAGCGGACTTGGCTCCGTCTACTGGGCCATATGGCGGCGACTATCTCTGTGGTGTGGCGGGGCGGTTGAGGATGCGCCCTATACAGCAAGCTTTGGCGAGTCTGTGGGCTCACTCGGAGGACCTGGAGCGGAGTCTCACAGTCCTTGGGTGGTTGTCTCCTCACCTTCAGTGGTGGACCAATGTTGGGAATCTCTCCAAGGGGGTCCCTTTGGAAATCCCGGCGCCAGCTCTTACCGTTCAAACCCGATCGTCCCTCACGGGCTGGGGGTGTTCTGGGCAGTCTGTCGGTGTCCGGACTCTGGTCGAAGCGAAGCCCGCCTTCACATCAGCGTCCTGGAACTGTGAGCTGTGCGGTTGGTTTCTGCGCTTCGGGAGCATGTCAGGGCCAGGTGGTTTGTCTTCAGTTGGACAACCGTACGGCCATGACGTACATCCTGAAGCAAGGCGACACGGTGTCCCTAGCGCTCCTTTGGGAGACGTGGGAGTTTCTCCTCTGGTGCGACCAGTGCGACTGTCAGGTGCTCCCTGTTTATCTCCCGGGGCTGGAGAACGTGCGAGCAGACGCTCTCTCTCGCCGGATCCTGGCCCCGCACGAGTGGATGCTCAACCGGCAGATATTCGGAGTTATCTCCCAGTTGTACGGATCGTTCCAGGTGCATCTGTTTGCGTCAGATACCCGTGTTCTGCTCTCGAATACCAGACCAGAGGGCGTTGGCTTCCGATGCCTTCCTGCTTGATTGGACGGGCAAAGTGCTCTGGGCGTCCCCGCCGCTACCACTCATTCCCCGGGTCCTCTCCCAGCTGTCCACCCAGCCAGCTCGGCTGCTTGTGCTACTGGCACCGCTATGGCCGTCACAGTGCTGGTTTCCGGTAATTCTCAGGTTTCTGGCTCAGCCTCCTGTTCTATTACCTTTGCAACCGGACATTCTCACTCAGAACGGCGCGCCATACCCCAATCCAAGGATTCAGTGGGTGGCTTGGCCTCTGTCAGGTCTAACCTCGAAGCACGCGGAATTCCTGCAGCAGTTGCAGACACAATTCTGGCTTTGAGGCGGGATTCGACAAACGTTCAGTATGAGGATAGGTGGTCCCGCTATGCGCGCTGGTGTTCAGATAGGGGGATTTTCTGTGGATTTAGTCCGAGTATTGGAGTTTTTGCAAGCTCGTTTGGAAGAAGCCCTGGCGGCTTCAACCATTCGTGGCTACTCCACTTTTCACACCCCTGTCGATGGTGCTCTTCTGGGGCAGCACCCTCTCGTACAGCGCTTTTTAGCTGGCGCGGATCAGGTTCGACCTGCTGTCAGGCAAACCAGCCCACCTTGGGATTTGTCAATTGTGCTAGATTGGCTGTCCGGTCCTACGTTCTCACGTCTATCGGCTATTTCCATTCAGTTGTTAACATGGAAGGCTGTATTTCTGGTGGCGGTAACATCTGGGCGTAGGGTCGGCGACTTACATGCTATGTCGGCAGACCCGGCGCTGACTGTGTTCCATCCAGATCGTGTCAGTATTCGCCTCCCGGATACTTACCGCCCGAAGGTCGATCACGCTTTCCATGTGACAGCTCCTATCGAACTTCCTACTCTTACCAAGCCTTCCACATCGGGGACCTCTCCTACGAGCTCTCACCCATTGGATGTCCGCAAGACTCTCAAGGTCTATATCAAACGAACACAGGGGATCCAAACGGGTACCCATCTGTTCTGCTGTTACGGTGGCAGGAAGGCTGGGGTGCCGGCGAGCAAACAGACCCTGTCTCGCTGGCTTGTTTCGGTCATTTGTGCTGCCTATCAGGCTATGGGCAAGCCTCCCCCTGAGGGGTTGAAGGCTCACTCGGTCAGGGCAGTAACCACATCAAAAGCTTTTGCATCAGCACTACCCTTTGAAGTCGGCCTAGCACTTTTATCAGGCACTATCAGCTCGATACACATTCACGTGATCGTGCGCGCTTTGGCCGTTCTGTTCTCTCCAGTGGACAGTGTCTTGCCACCCTGACCGAGTGAGTCTTGGTTATCTGGTTAGTTGACGCTGCTTTCAATTGGGTTTTATTGATATGTCCG